GTTGGAGGTTGCTGTGAGCTGTGAAGCCACGGCACTCTACCCAGGGGGACAGCTTGAGGCTCTGTCTCAAAAAAAAAAAAAAAAAAAAAAAATATTATTAAAGCTAACTAAATGAAAAACCTCTCCGCACACATGCCAGAGCCCAAAGAGCTGAGTGAAGGACACCCAGAGACCACAGGAGCCAACCCCTATGGACAAGGACTAATGCAAGGCTAGAGGTGGGGATAAAATCACATTAAAAAGTTGGCTTGGTGCCTGTAGCTCAGTGGGCAGGGCGCTGGCCACAGACACCGGGGCTGGTAGGTTCAAACCCAGTGTGGGCCTGCTAAACAACTAAAAATAGCCGGGCATTGTGGCAGGCACCTGTGTCCCGGCTACTTGGGAGGCTGAGGCAAGAGAATCACTTAAACCCAAGAGTTGGAGGTTGCTGTGATCTGTGACATCAGGGCACTTTACCAAGAGCGATGTAGTAAGACTCTCATCTCAAAAAATAAAAAAAGGAAGGGGTAGTGCCTGTGGCTCAAGGAGTAGGGCACCTGCCCCATATGCCGAGGGTGGTGGGTTCAAACCCAACTCTGGCCAAAAAACTGCAAAAAAAAAAAGGAAAAAAAAATAAGATGGCTCACACCTGTAATCTCAGCACTCCAAGAGGCCAAAGCAGGTGGACTGCTTGAACTTAGGAATTCGAGACCAGTCTGAGCAAGAGCGAGATCCCATTTCTACTAAAAGTAGAAAAACTAGCCTGGTGTTGGGACAGGTGCCTAAGGTCCCAATTACTCAGAGGCTGAGGAAAGAGGATCTTGTGAGCCTAAGAATTTAAAGTTGCTATGAACTATGATGCCACGGCACTCTACCCAGGGCACAAAGTGAGACAGTCTCAAAAAAATCTAAAATAATAATAAGACAAACTGAGCCACCAGACCAGTTCTACTAAAGAAAGCCACCATATTCGAGATCACACACACTGCTTTTATCTTTCAGTGAGCTGAAGTCAATCTCCCACACTTGCCTATAATGCATTTTAAACATTCACTCTTATTACAAGGAGCTAATTAACGACAGAGACTAAAATATTTAGGAAAGTTCTAATAACGTACTTTTTTTTTTTTAAGAGACAGTCCAACTTTGTCGCCCCTGGCTGAGGGCCGTGGCATCCTTGTTCATAGCAACCTCAAACCCTTGGGCACAAGTGATTCTCTTGCCTCAGTCTCCCGAGTAGCTGGGACTACAGGCAACCACCACATGCCTGGCTATTTTTTAGAGACAGGGTCTCGCTCTTGCTCAAGCTCATCTCAAACCTGTGAGGTGAGGCAATTCACCAGCCCCAGTCTCCCAGAGTGCCATGATTATAGGCATAAGCCACCTTGCCCGGACCTAAGAATGTACTCCTACTGCCTAAGCTGGGGCTTGCTTCCACTTTTCTTTCCTGAGGTGGTACTTAGCTTGTATCCACCCAGGCAAACAACAGAATAGGCAAGTAAAACAATTACTTCTTAGGCTCTCTAAGGATACTATTCAAGCCATGAATCAGGCCCTGAAAAAGCTTCCCCATCATCTCACCCTTTATCCTCTCGTGACTTCTTCTCTTCATCATTGCAGTCATAGGTAAAGAAGCTGTTATCATCACTAAAGAGAAATGAGAGAATGATTTCAAAAGGAGCACTGTTAACAAAAATGCCGATTCCTCCCAATAAGAAATATCTGCCTAGTCATTAAATTAAAGGTCTTAGGCACAATGAAAAAGTTGTCTGGGCACAGTGACGTACAGACCAGTTATGGAGCTTTATTGCTTAATCTCCTGTTTGAATCTGTCACACACAACCTGCCTGGTTCTGTCAAAATAAAATTAGTTCAGTAAAACAATGGAGGAAAAACACTCAACAGTAACTGATACACTATTCTTTCAGGAACCACATCAATGCAACATGGTTATAAGAAGAAATTGGCTCGGCGCCTGTGGCTCAAGCGACTAAGGCGCCAGCCACATACACCTAAGGTGGCGGGTTTGAATCCCCAGCCCGGGCCCGCCAAACAACGATGGCTGCAACCAAAAAATGGCCGGGCACTGTGGCGGGCGCCTGTAGTCCCAGCTACTTGGGAGGCTGAGGCAGGAGACTCGCTTGAGCCCAGGAGTTGGAGGTTGCTGTGAGCGTGATGCCATGGCACTCTACCCAGGGGGATAGATTAAGGCTCTGTCTCAAAAAAAAAAAAAAAAAGAAGAAATTATGGGCTCGACGCCTGTAGCTCAGTGAATAGGGCACTGGCCACATACACCAAGGCTGGCAGGTTCAAGCCCAGCCTAGGCCTGCTAAACAATTGACAACTGCAACAAAAAAATAGCCAAGTGTTGTGGCAGGTACCTGTATTCCCAGCTACTGAGGAGGCTGAGGAAAGACAATTTCTTAAGCCCAAGAGTTTGAGGTTGCTGTGACACCATGGCACTCTATCAAGAGCAAAATAGTTAAGACTCTGTCTCCAAAAAGAAAAAGTGTTTGCTTCGGCAGCACATAAACTAAAATGGGAACAATACAGAGATTAGCATGGCCCCTGTGCAAGGATGACACTCAAATTTGTGAAGCGTTCCATATTAAAAAAAAAAAAAGAAGAAGAAGAAATTATGGGCCAGGTATGGAGGCTCACATTTTGGCCTTTGTGAAACCAAGGCAGGAGGACCCCTGGAGGCTAGGAATTTGACCAGCTTAAACATAGTGAGACCCTATCTCTACCAAAAATTATTTTAAAATTATTAAAACTTAGCTAGGCATAGTGGTGCCTGTGTCCCACCTATAGTCCCAGCTACTTAGGAGGCTAAGGTAGGAGGACTACTCCTGAGCCCAGGAGTTCAAGGTTACAGTGAGCTATAAAGGGAAGGAGGGGAGGAAAAGGGATGGAGGGGAGAGGAAGGAAGTTATCTTGTATATATATCCAGTCTTTACAGTGATTACACCAAAATATTGTCCACATGGAACACTGAACTGTAGAAAAAGAATTTGTCTTTTAAGTCCAAAACTTTGCCAGCCACCAGATTTCCTCAAGAGCCACAGACTGAAGCTTACTGAGTTTAATACACCAATGGCTCACTGAGGAGTGTATCAGGCTGTGAATCTCTGAAACAAAATAATCTAGGAAACATGATAGGTTCTGAGCTAATCTTTTGTGAAATCTAAACTTGGCAAGAAATTGGCTTTCTGAAACTAAATGTTTCAAAGAATATGTTATTCATCTGACAGCCACGTCAAGCTTCCAGCAGGAAAGAATTAACACTGCCCTGGGACAGGAAACAAGGGGCTGCAACTGAAGACCACTAATTCCGCCCAGGCTCCTGGGTCAAGATTATTCCATCAGGCTCTGCGCCCATAACCCAGTAGTTACTG